AAAAAAAGACCCTATTCAAAGTCGTAGCTATTGGAGCTAATTTGTTTAATTGCTGTTTACAAACTGACAGAAATCTTGGTGTTAAGGGCTAAGTACAGTGGCAGAAAAAAGACGACCTTTTCAGGCCCCCTGGGGCCGGCGTTCACCCGGACGGACATTGTCAATATGTCTTTTCTTTAACAAGGCCATAAAAGGGGTTCCTGTTCAGTTCTGAAAACCGTCTCCTTTGTTAGAATTTCATTACATGACGTTGTATTAAAGTACCAATTAGTTGAGGGAAATTTCAAACAAAGTCCGGACAAAAGATTTAGAGAAATAGATCTGCAACGAAAAAGGAAAACATGTAATTTAGTTACGTGCATAAAAGAAAAAAATTGGAAAAGTGGAAAGAAAAATGTAACGAAAAAAAAAGAAAGCAGGAAAAGGGAAGAACGAAAAAAAGAAAGCAGGAAAAGGGGAAGAAAGAAAGACAGAAAGAAGGAAAGAATGTGATGGAAGAAAAAAGTACCAATTGGTGATGACATACACTACAAGTAAAAAGAATAGGAAAAATGGCATATTAATAAAAAGCACTTCTGAATCACGCCACTGAGATCTGATTTCTCCTGTGTGATATAATGTAATTATGGCACATTAAATTAAGGCTTTACCCAGGGCTTCCATATAACGGTAAGCATCGCTGTTTCCGCGTGCCGGTGCTATATTGTTTATGCTTTATGACTGAACGCTGCCGTACTGTAGCCGATTAATTAATTTGCGAAATGTATCTACATTTAATCAATCATAGTAGAAAACTAGGTAATACATGCAGTTATGGCGAGGTATGCATGTCGAACGAGGCGCATATTTCTTCTTGTGGTTTTATATAAATCCGATCGCTGCCTTGAACGTTAATATCGCAGAAGGGGAAGAGTTACGTCAACACAACGACTCTTGATTTAGGCATCATTTTGGGAGAGATGTTTCTTTTGTCTGATGTTTGACTGGTAGGTATTATAAACGTACATAGTTAGGTTATTTTCTGTGTATGAGCTTCTGTTTCTTCTGTTTATCCTATCTCGCATCTCTTAATAGTGGAGTTCAAGGCATCTTGTAATTAGAAGTACATGTAGGAGAAAACAAACACAAGGATGAGCAAGCCGTGCATGATCCAAGTTGAGGGGATTTTTAATGTTACGTGTTTAGCGTTTTTGTATCGTATTTATTAGTTATTAACTGTTGTCTTCTCTCTCTCTCTCTCTCTCTCTCTCTCTCTCTCGTAGGCATACATAGGTATCATTATAATTTCACTGCATTCAAACATTATACGTCCATTTAAAAAATTCTAACATCATGGATCAAACAGAATAATGGGAAATGATTTATTAAGTAACCGTCAATCCTACACATTCTCAGTATACCGGAGCCATGACGTACCTTTATTGCTAAACAAACATAAACAACAGGGGTCGAAACCTCGTATTTACCTTAAATAAACAACAACACCGAGGTTATGTTGATAAACAACAAAACTGGACGATATTAAGTCCACGTCGGAAATATATTGATCTAGCAATTTAGAAAGCGGGAAAAGCAAATAAGCGGGTTTGGATTTATACTGCAGGCACAATGTAGTATGAAAATATTTCTACGCACCTGTTGGGTGGGCTTGTTGTAGGTTTTTGTAGGGGATATGCAGTATATGGGCGTTTCTATTATATTATAGAGCTAATATCGATAATATCCGACTGCGTTATTTTCTGAGACATATTTTTCTATGTGTTTAATTAGTCTTGTTCACTGTCACAAAATCATGATTAGATCGCCAGAAATATACATACATTCCGCATCATTGCACGGGCCCAAATGAAAAACAAAAAACACAGTCAACTGCATATAATCACCACTGCATATTTGTACGAGTACTAGTACCTTTTCCGTTTGACTTGAGAACACATTCTATACCACTGAGCGCTTAATTTTTCTTACGCACCGAGACGGACTGTTTCACGCTAAACTTCGTTATTATCCTAACATTTCCCAAATACGTAACCTTCCACAGAGTACCATTAATTTATAGAAGAAGTTAAAGTTGTTCCAATGTGTTCACAATGCCTCCACTCATCCGAAACGGCGTGAAATGTGACACGGCCACTGATATGTGCTCTTTCTACGTAATAATACGCTTCAATGCCCCCTGGTGGCGAGAGTATTACGTCACACTCGATGGCTAGACATGTTTGGGGCTGACTACTTAAAGCGGCCACAGTACAGAACACGTTTAAAATCTTTTATATATTAATACGTGAGGTGATAGGGGGAAAGCGGAAGAACGTCCAGTCACTGCGCGGGAGACCTTTGGGCAGAAAAAAAGCTGACGGTTTTTTTTCCAAAAGGTAATTGATATATTTAGAGATCGATACGGGATATGTCCCAAAAGTGATTTAGAATAATGAAGACGGGACTGCTGTAAGCATTCTTAAAGCATAGGCCTACGTTGGCAGAGCGCACGAGTATAATCTTCAGTTATTCTTCTGACTGCTGTGGTATCTCTCTTTTATTTTCGATACTTTTGTAGCACTGATTGATGCACCTTTTATTTAATGCTCTGAGATTTGGGGATAAACGATTGGAAGATATTAACGGCGTTTTAAACGGCACAGGCCTGTATGGAAATCTTATATTGTGAAAAAAGTAATATATATTTATATATATATATATATATATATATATATATATATATATAGAGAGAGAGAGAGAGAGAGAGAGAGAGAGAGAGAGAGAGAGAGAGAGAGAGAGAGAGAGAGAGA